AATCTCCTAAGAGAAAATTCCCCTTTTAGGAGTTTTAAAAGTAAAATGTGCGTTGGTTTCCCTAGTACCTACTCTGCTTTTATCTAATGCTTGCAGCCTTCGGCACTACTCAGGCAGCATGGTCCATTTCCCATCTGGTGTTCTGTTAAAGAGTGGGCATCTATGACATCAAATGTACAGATCCAAGGTGACCTGGAAAACTAAGGAGTCAAAATATTTCTGATCTGTACCACAGGAACAAGTCCTGTGTCATGGAAAACAAATCATAGGCAAACAGAATGTACCATGGTGGCTGTGCAGCATTTACAGTGCTGAAGCTGCTGGTTAGCATTCAGGTAACTCGTGGGAAGGAATCTTTTGTGAAATAGCCAAAGTACATTTTACTTTTAAAACTCAGAAAAATTTGGATTTTTGCTTGAAATAAAGAACAAGTTTGACTAGTAAATTAATTTTACAGAGCATTTTAATTGTATAAAAGTACATTAAAGTGTATCTCTAGGCAAAACTTTTGTTTGGTCTAAAGTAAGGAAGGGTTAGACCCCTGTCAAATTTATATTGCAGTATGTTTTCCCATTGGGGAGAGTTATACCTCTATTTGTCCTGGTGACCTTTGTCACCAAGGCAGAAAGTGCAGGGAGATCCAAAAATGTTGTGTTGTCCCCAGAACAAAAGGAATCTTCAATTGAAGACACATATTCCAGGGACAACTGTCTAAGGGGGATTTCCTCTCACTTTGGAGATTTCCTCTAACTTCCAGTTGCGGTTTGGGGGTAGGAAGTAAAGAAAAAGTTTGCCAATGATACACAGATAAAAAATATCCTGACAGGAGTTTCAACTCTTCCCTACTCACTCCAAAGCTCAAAAGAAATTTTGGGCTATTCATATATTTTAAAGGAAACTTTAGCTTTGCCATAAAGATTTATAGTTTTGTAGTACTTCACTAACCTTATTGGTTTCTTATTGTCTATGCACATTATACTGAAATCTATCAAGTTCCACTGAATTTTGTTTGGCACTTAAGACATAAATATTAAAGAGGAACTTCAGTTAAAACAAAAAAAATTAAAAGTCTGTAGCTGCTGACCTTTCATTAAAAGATGCCTACCAGTCCAGGGATCCAGCACTGTCTTCACCCAGACCAATCTTTGGGTCCCCGGCACTGCCCTGTTAACTGTGGGAAGTCAGCTGTGACTCCTTGTGGCTTCACAGCCAGCTCCCCACTGTGCATGTGTTAGCCGTGCTCTGCATTCTGAATGGTCTTTCAGCCTCCTGGGACCTGTGACATGTCCCAGGAGGTTGCAGGCAGTGGGGGTGAACTAGACGGATCGTCTAGACGATTGGATCACCTAGACGATCTGCATGAAAGGACAACCAGTGGAACTTCCTTTACTAAGTGTAGCTCCATTTTTGCGTTTTTACTAAACTAAGATACACAACAAACTCTAACTTACAAAACAAACACACCAGGATATGAATATCTTTTTTCAAAAAGTCACAAAAATATTTTCAGCTGAGCCCGTTATTTTGAAAATAAAACTCCTTATCCTTGTGTTAAAGCTTTGTAAATTGAGCATAATGTCTGAACATAGGCTTGTAAGGCTGGAGGTGTATGTTATTACTCTTAAACAAGCATAACAATTTACTCATCTAGTATAAAGATTGAATTAAGTCTTGGCTGGTGGTTTTGTAAAACAAAATGTAGAAATACAGCTGGTGAATCTAGACTATGCTGGTCATAATGTGGCACTGATAACCTTCAAGAAAAGGCATACTGGAAAATATAATATCACATACAATGATGAAAAGTGATAGATTCCTTATTGGCATTAAAGTAGGAAAGTGGTAGGTTGCAAGACCTAGCCTTTCAGACCACAGAGCTTTTGTAATGAACCTACACAGGGGAAGTAGAGCACAAAGAATGTCACACTGTGATAGATACTGTATGTGGGAAATATTTAGAACAAGGCGCTTTGACCAACACAATTTGCTATATCAATGTATACTCTTGTTAGATTTCTCAATCTGGAAAGCACTGTTCAGACTATGGGCACCAAAAGTTACTTACTGTTGTCACGGATTTATGGTTTGGTGCACTTCTAGAGGGTCCATTCCTTATCATAATAATAGCAAAATAATTTGCAATAATCAGCAAAAATAAGTAAAACAGTTTTAAACATGATAGTAACGAAACAATTATATTTAAACTGCTAATATATATATACTAAATTACATCATGTAAATATATACATATTGGAACAAAAATTATTTCAACAACGTACCAAATTTGCATAGTTTACAAGCTTTTATTGATCAACCCTGTGATTGTCACTAATTATTACTGTGATTTGTAGGTCACTTTCATTGGTAGTTTGTTTCAGTTAATATTTAAATGATACAAAGTGAAATTCAGGAACACATCTGCATAATTCATGTGTATGTGATTGTAGAACCCCTTGACATAAAAAGTGCAGCACAAACCAACAAAAAATGCCAGTACTTTATTAAAACCATAGGATAAAACCACTCACAAGTAAAGTGCTCAAATGGAGCAGTGCACAATTTCAAATGCTTAATAGAAATCAATCACAGGTCACTTTAAAAACCTCAGAATCCCACCTCCATACACCAGCTGAGTGGCCAGGCTTCCTTACAGTCGTGATAACGTCACTGTGCTTTGCCTTGATGCATTTCACCATGCCCACGTGGCTGCTTCTGAACTGACCTGTGACTGATTTCCATTAAGTGTTTGGAGTTGTGCACTGCTTCCTTGATGCACTTTACTTGTTAGTGGTTTTATCTCATGGTTTTAATAAACTGTTTTTTGTGACTATATTACACTATATGGAGTTTTCTCTTTGCCTTGAGTGTCTGAGCCTTGTTGTGCCCTTTACCATATAGGAGAAGCTGGAGGATTAATCCTGAGGCTTTTATTCATCAAGTGGCTGGTGGGAACTGCTGTTTTTTACCCTTTGGTGAAAGGGAAAGGCGCTTATTGACCTATTATATACCAAATAGGTCCACAGATCAAGGTGAGAGTGGAGAGTGAATGGTGGTGGGACCCTCACCTATGATGACACTTTAATGGATCACTGAATTACAGTACAATATTTCATAATTTTTCCTAGTTCACTGGGTGTTTATGGACTCGCTGCAAGCATTGATGTATATTATGATTTAAGAGTTTTTATAAGACACTATTTTTCACTTTGTGATTTTTTCAGTAAGTGTATCTGTTGGTATAGTTACACTGGCTTAATTAAAGTGAGACACAGTGAGTTTTTATTGAGTTCCTTGGCACATGCTTTCCAATTTTTGGTGGTTTGCGCTGAACTTTTTATGTTAATGGTTTATTTGGTTTGTGGTAAATACACAATCAGTGTCAGCAGGAAACAGCTTGTATTACACCTGTAGGTAGCGCAGAGGACCTTTCATGCGTTGTATTGAGGAACCCCTACTATACAACAAATCACGTCCTATAACTCAACTGCTGCAGTAGCAGAGTTTAGTACAGAGCACAGCAGCAGTATGGTAATTGCACAATTAAGGAATGGCAACATTGAGTTGTCCTTGAATGCTGTCTCCTCCTGTGAGCAAGCCCCCTGGGTTAGTGTGACAGGACTGAGCAATGCTGTAGAGCATGTTTGGCTCCCTGGTTTGGCTCCCTGGATACCCTTTAAAGGAAGCTTCAACGATATAAAAGAGAAATATAGGTACTTGCCAATAGTTGCATTTAAGAGTATGTTTAATTATTAATTTTTTAACTGAGTAACTTTTGTATGTCTGTCTGTTGTTTGGTTCTGAGTTGCTTTTATGAGTACAATACTCTATAAACTTCATTACTGTCTTGTATTTTATGGTTTTCCCATACATTGTATTTTATGGTTTTCCCATACAGGTATTTTATGGTTTTCCCATACATTTCAATTGAGAAACTTTACTCAGAAAAGTGAGATAGTAGACAAGGACCATTTGTTGCCACTATCCCTATATATATCTACCAAGTATTTAAAAACGTCAATGGGACTTTTCAGGAAACTAATATAGACAATATAAAATAATTTAATCCCTTTTTTGTTACATCATAAAATCCTGGCTGTTAGAATATATATTGGAACATCGATACAATTTTAATTTGGTCCCTTATGGATTTTTCCTGGGTAATGATATGATTTAAGATTGTATATCACCAGAATATTTTATAACCCATGATGTGATTTTATGTGTATTTATATTTTATGATGTGTATACAATATGTTTATATATTGCCAACACTAGCTGTCTGAAAAGTCCCATTGGAATTTTTGAATACTTGGTTAGTTCAAAAACTTTAAGTTGCCCAGAGGAGACAAACAAATACATAGTTTCCACAGCAGGCACCATAACGGTGCTTTAACAGAGCTTCTTGCATCCCCATGGTTCATCACCATCAACTTTCCACAACACGTCAAGTAACCATATTTTTTGTGAATCATAACATGCTGAGGAGCAATATAAACCATACAGTTTGTGGACTGTTGTCAAATGTAACTGTAAAAACAGTGAAAAATATTTAAGTTGTTACCTACTATAGCATTGAAAATAGATTAAAAAAGCAATATTATATCAACATATGTTAAAAAATAAGTGCACACTTAGTATTCTTAGATTATGCATGTACTGGTTTTGGTATCTTTCAATATCCTAATTGTTTGTGGTATTTTATCTCTTTGAACATATACCTTTATTGCTAGAATCTTCACAAAATAAGATCAAAGCCCACAAAATACTAAGACATCACAAATACTTGGGTAATGAAGGATTCACGTAATATCCATCAATTTTGGAAGGACAGAGAAGACATGATACAAGTGTCTTCATTAATGTTATGATGCTTGTGGTGATTTGTGCAATGACATCTTTATAAAACCATAACTTCTTAATAAATACTGCTTACCCTTTGTTTTTCAGTGTAGAGTGTTCATTGCTTACTATGCAAGTGCAGCATTGTTTCTATGGCTATATCACAGGTCCTTGTTTTCCATGTCTGGAGACTCTGGGCTTGAGTCCAAGTCACTGATGGCTTCCTTATTTACAAATGTTGCACCCAATGTCAGGCTTTGTCTTGGCTTTACTGGAGCTAACTCAGACAAATTAATATTGTCACTCTTCACTAATGTTGTCTTGTCCATGTTTTCTTCACTGTGCTTAGCCACCACAGCATTAAAGAAATCTAATTTTGGTGGCAATGTTCCTGTTTCAAACAGATACTTTGCAAAGTAAGAGATAGCTATGTTTGTTAGAAATGAAACTAGCATAGAAAGAGTTTTGAAAGGGAACCTTTGCAGAATTATGTTATTCTTGTCCATGTAGCAGTTTCCGAAACAGACAAGTGCCTGCAGGTGGAGATATGGCTCTCCACCACTTATTCTGAGAAATAGCCCAAGCACATATCCTGCAACAGACCCATAAGTGTTGGTTGCTTTGATAAATAGAACACAAAGAAGCTGTGGGAAGATAACAATGTAGACCAGGTCAGAGCTCAGGTACCAAAGTCCATAAACTGACTTTGCCAGTAAAGCCATAGCTGTGGCAGCAGCTCCAAATATAAACACAGTAGTCCGCATCACCCAGACAATTTCATTTTCTGATGCCTTTTAAAATAAGAAAAAAAATGCTGTAATGTGTTATACTTTTAACATATTACATTATAAAAACATTTAATAATCTTTGACATGTCTAAATGGCAGTGAAATGTAAATCACAGAACTCTGTTTAATAAACAGTCATAGTGTACAAATATTCAAAAGCTGGGACTGGGTAAAGAGACAAGAGAGTATGTCAGGATGAGCAGGATGCTGATGGGATCTGATCAGGGGTGGACTGACAACTCATGGGGCCCCCAGGCAATAGGGGATCATGGGGCCCCTGTGTCCTCACCCACACTCAAACCACACTGAAAAAAGCCTATGAAAGGTACCAGGGGCATCTCATAGGGCCCCCTGCTGACCCCAGGGCCCTCGGGCAGTCCCCGAGTGCTCGAATGGTCAGTCCGCCCCTGGATCTGATCCATAACATCTAATGTAAATGTATAACTATAACAAGTTAAACCACAACTGTACCTAAACACATGCCTTCAACCAAAGGGTTGTTTATTAGTTCCCTAAATAAACATCCTGCTACTGTTACTACTGATTAAGGTATGTTTTTTTTAACTGACAAGTAAAATCTGTCTCTTGTCTCCATTTTAACTTTACTTTACAGCAAATAATATAGAATTGGGGCAGTGTGAAAAATAAAATGTACAATCCAGTGCATTCTATAGACAGTTTAGACTAGGGGCAGTTTAGAATAAAAAATGTACAGAATGAAGCAGTCTGAAATGGGCAATATATAGCATGGGGGACATAGTGAGACAGGACAGAAAAGGAATGAACAGCAAAGTGTATGGAACGACGTGGTATGGAATATAGCATTCACAAAAAGTTGTATAAAATAAGGTGATAAACTGATCTGGTGTAAAATAGAGATCAGAGATCGTACTGCATGGCAAATGAAATAAGATGGTGTGGAATTGTGAATATTTAGCTTGTTATATGGAATGAGCTGATGCTGAATAGGGAAGGTACAGTATGTCATATAGAATGAGCTGGTGCAGAAGAGTGAATGTAAAGCATGACATATAGAGTTTATTAGCAGAGTTATTTTCCTACCCTAATACAAATAACTTGTAGCTGCTGCTCAGGCATATGAATGTGAATGATCCCTACCTCATTCAGACTTCCATCAGTGTGGACTTGCAGTTGATCACAGTGATAGTTTAGTTAATTGCTGCTGTCAATTTTAAATAAAAAGACAGCAGAGGAAACATTCTACTACTCAGTCCTTCTGCAGTGCTGTACATTACATTATCAGTTAGAGTCACAGACAGGGGCGGACTGACCATTTGGAAACTCGGGCACTGCTCGAGGGCCCGGGCTCAGTAGGGCACCCCATGAGATGCCCCTGGTTCCTTTTTCATACGCTTTTTTGGGTTTGGGCAAGGACACAGGGGCCCCATAATCCCCTATTGCCAGGGAGCCCCATGAGTTGTCAGTCCGCCCCTGGTCACAGAGGAAGTGAGTAGTAAAAGACTTCCTCCGATGTCTGTTATTTAAATTTGACAGCAGCGATCAACTAAACTGTCACTGAGATCAATCGTGGGTTTGCACTGACAGAGGTCTGAATGGGGCACAGTTTAACTAAAGAGGTACACCACTCCACTATCCCTGGGTCCCCTGCCAGGCCCCATAGCAGCAGGACATGCAAGAGGTGAGAAGGGAGCAGCTCCTCATACAGCTCAGCATCAAAAAACCATGAAAAGCACGAGCCCCTCCTCTATCTCACCTTTTATTTCCTATCAAGCTACTTGTTTAACCTCCCTAGCGGTCTGATTATGTCCATATTTCTGTGCTCAAAGCGGTAAATTTTTTTGCATGGAAATATGTATTTTTTTTATTGTAGGCCTGTAATTTTTAGGAATAACTCACTGAAATCTGTCTGAACAAGAGTCTAGTAAAAAATCCCGGGTATGATAAAATTTGAAACACGAAATCATAAATTATAATTTAATAAATAATCCAAAAAAAATAATAATATAATAATAATAATAAATTGAATTCAATAATATAATCAAACCAAAAACACTAAAATTTGAAATATAGCGCCAAGTTCGCACATCACTGAGCAAAGTCGCAAAATCGTTTTCAGTGTCTGATGATGAATTTCCCCACGAATCATTATCACTCAATTCAAGTAGTTCTAATTTACTATCGCTGTTCTCTAGCTGGTCTAAAACCGATTTTGACCTAAAGGGATGCTTTTTGGACGCCATGGCATTTCTCAGTTTCCAGGCAGAAAGAACAGTAAAAATGTAGGCAGGGCACAGGACAAAGCACTAGGGACAAAATGTATGTGAAATGCTTTGATACAGTAATGTTATACTATGTGATTTTAGTGTATTTTGTGAATGTCACTTTTTGTCATTTTCAAATTTCCCACCAGTTCCGTCCCCCCGTACGTCCTGACGTCGCAGGGGATGGAACTCAGATGACAGATGCCAGCATCTGCCAGATTACATTGCCGGGGACACTGCAGGGGGGACATCGCGGGAGCGCAGGACAAGGTAAGTGAAGAACAGATGCCGGAGCAGCGCTGCATGGTAAGCCCGAATGTAGTTCGGGGTTACCGCTTGTGGTACTGAAACTTTACCCTGAGCTACACTCGGGAATACCGTCAGGGAGGCTACCAGATGAGAATAAATGTAAGACACTTCAAACACTACCTGACAAATAGCATTATTAAAAAATTTGTAACAAGGCCAGGCAATTACAAAAGGTTATTGTATTCACTAAGCGCTGAGGGAACTGTTGGCGCTTTATAAATATTGTATAATAATAAAATAATAATAAGCATAGCCCCATATGGAAAAATCCCTTATATGTAGTAGTAGCTGGAAAGAATTCGGGATCACACATCTACATCACATCTTTAAATACAGGGTCCTGCTGTCCTTTTCAGAATTGCAAACTGTCTTTTCTTTACCTCAGTATACCTATTATTACTATTTGCAATTGCAGCATGCTATCAGGGGAAACATTGATGTAGTTCAATGTATTCCTCTAAAGACTTCATCTCACAATGTTATTCTACACTCTTGTCTGAATATTTTAGTAACTACCCAATGAAAGTAAAAGTATAGTGGGAGAAGGATTTAGGGCCCATGACAGGGGACAGATGGAAATAAGCTTTTCTGTCTGTTACCACATGTTCTCATAATGTATCCCAGAAATTGTCCCAAGTATATATTCTACTTAGAGCTCATTACACTCCATTAAGAATGTTAAAAATAGGTATCCAGCCCAATCCTTTGTGTATAAATTGTAAGGGGATCATGGAGACCTTATCCATTTCTATTAGTGCTGCCCCAAGCTCCACCATTACTGGAAGGGAGTGGTAGACCTGATTAACAGGATATTTCAAGCCACTATACCTCTATACCCCAAATGTTGCCTGTTGGGAATTTTAGGAGACATAGAACTTAGAGAATTTACATGTAAGGCACTCCAGAGCCTTTTTTCAGACCTGTAAATTACTCCTGATCCACTGGAACTCCCTGAAGGAGTGGACCCGTTCCGTAGGCGACACCCTTTTATTTGAAAGATATATTTATTAGCATAGGAGGATACACCAGGACTCAGTACATTAGAGTTAGTACAAATGCAGCTGTTGCAATTCCCTGCTGTTTGGAAACTATTTATGGAATGATTGGCATTTACTGTACCTTTATGTCGACTCTACCATGTGTGTATAAAATGATACCTGCATATGACTTTGTTGAAACTGTAATCTTTCTGTTTAGCCTTGATTGATATGGACTGCTGTATCAATGTTTATATTCAATAAAACCTTCTATTATTAAAAAAACAATGAAGACACTTACATTTTGCCTAAATGAAAGTTGGTAAATATTCCTAGCAAACATTGAACTGGCTGACAAAATGGAAGAGTCTGCTGATGACATAACTGCAGCAGATACGGCACCAAGTCCAAAGAAGGAGATGTAAGGTGGGCACAAATATTGAAGTACAATGGGTAGAATCATGTCTGTTTCTTCTCTGGACTCTGGATCAGGTAAGCCATATAAGGTTTGATTCCATTCTGAAAAATAATAATTTTGATAGGTCAGGCAAAAGTACTCATCTTATTTCTGTTTTAATTGTTGGAAGTAACTAGTGCCTTGGGGCCTAAGGATTACTTAATCTTTGAGTTAAAACAAAGTAGACAAATCACATACATTTGTATATGAAACACCAATCTTCTGTCTTTATAAGCTGTGCTGTCTTAGATGTTTTCAGTATTCAGCACACCTCTGTGTGTGTTGTATGCCTGGTCCCTGCTGCTGTGTGTGGTGTTACCCTCCACTGACCCCTGTGTCACTACAGGATGCAGTGGAAGCAGATACAAAGATAACATCTCCTGCACTCTAGGACTCAAACCAGGGGTGGAGGAATCGAGGAACCTCAAAACAATTCCACCAGTACATGAAAGGACATGCAGCTCTACAACAAGGCTGGGGAAGCCCAACTGATACTGTGAAGTGAAGCAAAAAGAAAGAGAGCACCAACCTTGCGCATTACCTCAGTAATTCTGTGATTTTATTAAATAAAATATATATACTCACAAACAAGGATGTAAAACAAGCATAACAGATCCTCAAAGGAACTGAGGAGTGTAGAGCCAGTGTGAGTCATGTCACAAGGGTAGACTCTCAAAGTGAGGCAGACGCATTTCGAAGGGAGACCCTTCTTCATCAGACTATGAAGAAGGGTCTGCCTTCGAAATGCATCAGCCTCACTTCGAGAGTTTACCCTCGTAACGTGACTCACACTGGCTCTACACTCCTCAGTTCCTTTGAGAACCTGTTATGTGTCAGCACCTGTGGTAGTGAGTTCTATTGATCCTCAACTTGGGGTTCCCCAGGGCGCGGAGTCTAAGCCCCAGCCTGCTTGTTCACCAGAGCCCCTGATGGTGGGGATGTACTTGCAGCAGGCTGGGACCAGGTCGCAGACCCCGGGTACACCCAGCTGAGGTGGAGGAGACCACTCTCGGGAGCAGAGTATAATGGGAGAAGACAAAGGGAATCCAATAGGCAAGCCGAGGTCAGGACAGGTGGAAAACAAGCAAGGTCAGGAACGAAGCTGGGGTCGGTACACAGGTAGACAATATAGGATTCACAGCAGAAACATATGGGAGCTCAAACTACTAAGAAGTTGCTCAGGCAAAGTGGGCTAGACTGAGCATGTCTTATATAGACAAGCAAACTAGGAGGTGGGCCAGGAAGTGATGGAAGGGAAGGAAATAAAACCCAGAGGATAGCAGACGACGCCCATAGGTGAGCACAGACAAACACACATGTGAAGGGATCAGGAGCAGCAAGGAGGTAAGAATAAACAAACAAGAGGCTGCAGGCTAACTTGTGACATTATGCTTGTTTTACACCCTTGTTTGTAAGTATATATATATATTTTATTTAATAAAATCACAGAATTACTGAGGTAATGTGCAAGGTTGGTGCGCTCTTTCTTTTTGCTTCACTTCACTACAGGATGCAGTATTGGTGTAGGGGCCAGCGGACAGAACCACAGATGGTAGCAGGGAAACAGGCATCTGACAGACCTGGAGTGTGCTGGATGCTGAAAATTTTTTGCCCAGCATAGTTTGTGAACTCAGCACAGGTAGCTGGAGTGATAAGTAATAACCCATTTCTTTACAGGGTTGCTTTTGATTCTGAATTTTAATAAAAAACGGCCATACCTGGATAAAAATGTATCCGGTTCAGCAGAAACCAGCTGAATTTCTATCCATATATGGGCTAGCTGGTCCTACACAAGTCCACCTATTGATCAACTTGTGTATAACCAGCCTGTTGGGTTTTTCCCAAATGATCAGTGAGACTGGCTACGACAGTGAGAGTAATTCCCCTATCCACATAGCTGGTTGTGCAAAAAAAGAGTTTCAATGTATGCGCTGCTTAAGTGACACTTTGTCAGTTTGTGCTCTGACTACATTGGTTGAGTGGGCATAGCTATGGTATGCCTACTGGATCTCAACACTGCCCAGTGAAAAGCAACACACAGCAAGAATCCTCCATTTACTAACTGGTACTCAGACATTATTAATGAAACCTCTTTTTTTTGGTAAACTTTAATGACAGCATAGTGTTGAGAGGTGCAGCAATCCATGACAGCCAATAAAACCAGTTTTCAATAGTTTAACACATTACTAGTTATTGTGCACCACTTCTCTCTTCTGCAGTGAAAAACACAGAGAATCAGCCAATTTCAGCTCTAAAGGAAAATTCCACGAAGTATAATCTGTATTAAAATGACCTTACAAATGTAGCTACATTTGGAAGATGGCGGAAGAGGTGAGAAATGTTTGGGAAGCCTGAACAGAGTGTTCTTTCCTTTCCAGGGAGGGTTCCAGTTCTCCCCCAGGATAAAGCTCCCGAGACAAGAAATTGCAGTCTGGGCCTCAGCAGGAGACAATAAATACTAAAAAGACATCTCCTAGACCACAGGTGTCAAACTGGCGGCCCTCCAGCTGTTGCCAAACTACAAGTCCCATGAGGCATTGCAAGATTGACAGTTACAAGCATGACTTCGAAAGACAGAGGCATGATGGGATACAATAGTCAACTGGTCAAGAACAGTGGAGGACAGTAAACAGTCAGTGAAGCTGCTAGCTTTAACCAGCAGTAAATCCTCCAAAGCCAACATAAAAAAATGTGTCAAACAGCCACCCTGATCTTATCAGTGTGTTCAGGCAGCATGCAGGTTAGATTAGGCAGTTATAAAAAAAAGAGTAACCAGTGAGACAAGACAGAGGGGAGGCTTGTATGTATACTGTCTAACCTGCCGCCATTACAAGTGACCAGTGACACAGTTGTTTCGTGTAGCTCCTGGGCTTCAGGTTTTTCATGTCTCCCCCTCCTGCCGCCCCCATTCAGCCCTGATCTAGCCACCAGCATCTTCCATATACAGTCAAATGTGGCAGGCTGGAGAAAGGAGTCTTGTCTTGTCCCTCCCCCATACTTAGATAAGCAGCGTTATTGGCTGCTACACTAAGCATGCAGAAACCTGAAGCTGCCAGCTTTCCGGGCCCCTCTGTCAAAGTGATAGGGCCCAGGCCCCCTACAGGAGGCCCGGGGGTACCCCCTTATTGGCGGCCCTGCCAGTGACAAGTCCATTTACACATTAAAAGGGAAGTCATCAAGACTGGCAGGCTATCCTTTGCTAATGCTACTCAATCGGCAAGCGCAAGCCGTACCCGTATAAAATCTTAATTGGTCAGATGTTCAGTTGTTTACTGTCTTGGGTAATGGGGTTGTAGACACTGTAGCTTAATTGTAAGGCCCCATTCAGATGGGGTGGTACAGTTGGATGGAAACAGACCGCCTGTCCGTTTCCACCTGATTGTCATCTGATCCGCTGGATGGATGGGGAAGGAATCCACATCTGCCTGTTTTTGCATACAGGATGAGATCGTATGGTGGTGGGCGTCAGTGGACTATTGTTCGCTGACAATTGTCGATCCATAGAAGTCTACAAATGGACCAATCGGGTCCGCCTGTGAAACGGACAGGAGGAGCCCATCGGTTCGCTCATGTGAAAGGGGCCTAAGTCTTAATAGTTGCTTTCAGCAAAATGCAACTAGGGTGGTTTCATGTTAGGATGAAAAGTGCTTGACCAATCAGCTGGTTTTAGATGGGGGGGGAGGATACTGTATATCAAGAAAATATTTTTTGATTTCTTACACAACATCACAATGGAAGCATAGGCCTAGAAGACAACACACATCTTTGCATGCATGGAAGCAACCTAGGTGTATGTTATAGATTGAAGATATGTTAGACAGGTAGAATATCTGTATGCCTGCTAACATATCATCACAGCAGGATTGGGTACATTGAAGGCTTCTGATCACTGTATTATTTGCAAACACTCTGTGAACTCTGTCCTGTGCTAGGACCCAATAAATGCATCTCTTTGGATGAACCAAGTTGCTGCGGGAAAATTCATTTTTTGAATAGAGGAAGTTTTGCAATACATATCGGCCAGTGAACTCTTGCCGCAACAACAATAATTATAACAATAATTATCACTCCTCATCCTTGATATATATGACAACACTGGCCCCTAGATGAAACTGTTGTAATCCAGTTACCTGTGGAGGCTCCAATGGCTCCAATTAGAATCGAAGGAATTGCCATTATCAAACAACCAAAAGCAGCTAAGAAAGAGAGCACTTGTGCATAGGTTGCAGAAGAAGCAGATAAGACCCTCTGAAAATAGGCCTGCCAGGGAATTCCTCCTAGCATCTGTAAATAGAAAGAAAATGAGGGTTTATTACAATAATCAGACATGTTTAATGAATGTTAAACACTGTAATGTGTATTATATCAGACACTGTCATTTAAATTATTGTAGAGATGATTTGCCAGGGTGAATATAATCTTTCATGGTTTGGAAACTTGTGGCCTCAAGCTAGTGGCCTCAAGTTAGCTCATAAGCGTCCTCATTTCTTGTCACCTTTTCCTATTTGTAAGAAGACTATTACAATTTAACACATTCAATACTATAAGTAAGCATTAATTTAAATGAATGGAAAAACTGGCTATACAGTATAGTAATAGTCATAACACACAGATGATTTGAAAGCCTTAATAAATCTAATAAACCTAAATAAACCTATGCATAAGATGTGCATTGACTATGTAGTTTCATGGGGTCATTTGTTCCCCTTTACACAGAGGTTATAGTAGGTAAATTACCACATTCCTTTGTCAGAATTTCTGTTTGTTCGAGGCATGCGGCATGCCCCTTAACAGGATAATGCATAACCTCTGTCTGTAGTCTAAGAACCAACACCTCCTGTGAAGAAACTACATATCCCACAATCCCATTCTCTCAGTCTAGTGCCATTGCAGTTGAAATCAATTAGTTAAGATTACCATGTTGGAAGAGATGTGTTTGTTTCCTAAAATTAGCATGCATTTGTGACGTAACACAGAGAAATGGCTAGGCATGCATGTGACTCAGAACAAGAAGTTACTTGTCCCTCTGGTGAATAGGGACAAGCTATGCTGATTAATGCATGGACATAGGGGAATCGATCAGCCATGACACTACAAATTGCAGCCACAACATGTGAGCTCATCATTACAAAGTAAAGCAAAAAAACAAAACAAAAACACATGGATTATAAATTAACTAACACTTATTTAAAACAACAAAAACATTTGAAAGTGTACAATGCCTTTATTGTGTCACCCATTGTGTCACCCAGTCTCACAGTCACAGCAGTGGAGAAAGGTTAAAAGATAGGATGTATTGTTTACCAGAAGCAAGAAACTGTCAATCCAAGACCAGGTATCTTCTCTCCTAATGCTGCCCAGCCAAGGATCCTTGTAGACTTCTTCCACAGCTGTCACTGTGATGTCTGTAACTGAGGGATGAGTCATTGCAAAAGGTACACTGATCCACTGCAATATAAAGAGCCCTATTGTTAGATATAGCACAGAACTTAAAGCATTATCCTTAACCATATTAAAAATAAATGAATGTTACATTATATGGTGATTTTGGGCTGTATTTTATGTCCCTTGGACAGCTATTATATCTTGTTACAAAGAAGATACTGAGTCCAAATATGCAGTAAACAGATTTCCTATGTAAAGCCATGCATATGCAGCATGTATTCCCTCTCCCCCTATCCTAGCAGTGGCTGAGCTCAACGTTGCTGACATAGGGGAAGAGAAAGCGAACTGCACATACGTGACTTTTACATCAGGAAGCACATTCATTCCTGCAATGCTGGGGACACGTGCCCAACATCTGCCATGTCTTAGAAATAGGGCAGGATGTAGTAATGTAAATTGGGAGTATTTCAAACAGGCTTCATGGGTGACAGGTGCATTAAACAATATTTCTATATAACTGGCACAGTGCATTTTAAACTACTGGGGCTCCTTGTCTGCATGGGCCAGTTTATGTAAGGATGACCTTAGTCTTTAACTAAACTAAGCTGTTTATTATGTGAAAAATAAAGGGGTAGATTTAGGAAAATAGGTGCACACAGAATCTGCTGCTGGTTGTACATAGTAAACAATCAGCATCTAACTTCAACTTGTTCAATTACTAAACCCACAACAGTAAAATCAGTCTGTATATGCAGTAAATCATGCTTGTTATACTCACTGTGGAACCTAAGGGGTTAATCCTCTGCATTTTGTAAAAAGGCTGTTTGATTCTTTCTTCTCTGCCCCTCCTCTTTTGAAATGTCCACCTGATACAGACTGAACCTGCACATGCTCAATTTGGTGTGTATTGCTAGAGAGGTTTTTTTTTTTCTCTTTGGAGGGTGCATGTGATCAGCACAGGGCCAATCAGCACTGTCCAGACAGAGGGTCAGAGGTTTCACATCCTCCTAGAGCAGAAAGAAAACTCCTCCTACAAGCTTTTACCAGTGTTCTGTTGAAGTCACAAGACTGCTTTAACTACTGATGAGAAAAGGTATTTAGCAGTTTATATTTACTAAAGTAATTGCATTTCCATGTTCTGTGTAATGTGGGAGACCAGATATAGTGAATCAGGGTCCTGGGTTTAGTATCACTTTAAGCCGATTGGTTACTATCCAGAGCTGCACCAAATTCTGTGTGCACCAGTTTTAGTAAATCTCCCCCAAAGTGTGTTTGACCACACTATTGTTGTTTGGAAATAAGGAATATTACTGTTCTAGGTGTTACAGACCCATAAAATTAGGAAAAATATACAATATAAAACATACATTTGCAGTGAAGGTAAATCTATTGTGCTTAGGAAGGGAGGGAAAGGTATTGCAGCATTAAAATCACTAAATGACACAGGCAAAAATGAATATTGTATTTTGCTAGGAAAAGCCCATGCCTGTCATTCAGAAATTGATAAGGTTCCTTATATGTGATTTTTTAAAAATATGCTTTAACCAACAGCTGGAGCACTGTACTATCTTCAGCTGTAAGATCAAGGTTTTTCTCTAATTATTACTGTGGTTCACATAGAATATTCCTATTCTATATGGAACCCATTAAATAGGTCTACATAATTAAAAAAAAAAAACACAGTCCTGGAACATCCACCAGCTGACCACCTTCCTCTGCTCTTGGCTTCTCTTACACATACCTGAGCTGTTCTCTTTTCTCTGTGCCTCTGCTTTCTATCTTTCCTAAGCCTCTAGCTACCATCTCGCAGTTCTGGAGTTCTGCCTATTAAAGGAAGACTTCACTTTCCTTTAAAAATGCTATACAACTTACATAACACAAGTGTGTAAGTGTAACACTTACAGTTATGAATTATGGTACTTCTCATGGAGACTACAATACTTGTCCTCATTTTTATCTGCTCCTCTCTTCATAAGGACACTGCTGTCTTTGCTCCTGAACTATTTAGGGTAAGCATCTACCTTCTGGACTGAGGTACTGTTTCAGATATAGAATAATCGTATAAATTCTGATACCTTGGATGTTTTAAAAATGTCTGATATACAGTGCTGATTTTGAATGTTTGCCCACTCACAAAGAAATTATTAATCTAAAAATCGAATGGTAGGTGTATTGTAACACTGAAAAACAGAATAGCAACAAAAAATTCAAAAGAAATGCATGCCTAACAAATTATTATTTTTTATTATTATTATACAGTATTTATATAGCGCCAACAGTTTGCTCAGCGCTGATTTGCATGTTCATGAGGGAAATAAGTATTTGATCCCCTTCACAAAACATGACTTAGTACTTGGTGGCAAATCCCTTGTTGGCAATCACAGAGGTCAGACGTTTCCTATAGTTGGCCACCAGGTTTGCACACATCTCAGGAGGGATTTTGGCCCACTCCTCTTGGCAGATCCTCTCCAAGTCATTAAGGTTTAGTAGCTGACATTTGGCAACTCAAACTTTCAGCAACCTCCACAGATTTTCAATCGGATTAAGGCCTGGAGACTGGCTAGGCCACTGCAGGAACGTAATGTGCTTCTTCTTGAGTCACTCCTTTGTTGCATTGGCCGTGTGTTTTGGATCATTGTCATGCTGGAACACCCATCCACAACCCATTTTCAATGCCCTGGCTGAGAGAAGAAGGTTCTCATCCAAGATTTGACGAAGGTACATTGCCCTGTCCATCGTCCCTTTGATGCGGTGCAGTTGTCCTATCCCTTTAGCAGAAAAACATCCACAAAGCAGAATGTTTCCACCACCATGTTTGACAGTTGGCATGGTGTTCTTGGGGTCATAGGCAGCATTCCTCCTCCTTCAAACACGGCGAGTTGAGTTGATGCCAAAGAGCTCAATTTTGGTCTCACCTGACCACAACACTTTCAACCAGTCCACCTCTGCATCATTCAGATGTTCAGTGGCAAACTTCAGAGGGGTCTGGACGTGCTTTCTTGAGCAGAGGGACCTTGCGGGCACTGCAGGAATTCAATCCTTGTCAGCGTAGTGTGTTACAAATTGTTTTCTTGGTGACTGTGGTCCTAGTTGCCTGGAGATCATTGTCAAGATCATCACGTGTAGTTCTGGGATGGATTCCTCACTGTTCTCATGATCATTGACACTGCACGAGGTGAGATCTTGCATGGTGCACCAGACCTAGGGAGACTGACAGTTGTTTTGTGTTTCTTCCATTTGCGAATGATTACACCAACTGTTGTCACCTTCTCACCAAGCTGCTTGGCGATAGTTTGGTAGCCCAGTTCAGCCTTGTGTAGGTCTACAATCTTGTCCCTGACATCCTTGGACAGCTCTTTGGTCTTTGCCATGGTGGAGAGGTTGGAATCTGATTCTTTGATTGCTCCTGTGGACAGGTGTCTTTTACACAGGTAACAAAATGAGATTAGCAGCACTCCCTTTAAGAGACTGCTTCTAATCTCAGCTTGTTACCTGTGGGAAAGTCACCTGGTAGCCAGAAATCCTGCTGAATGATAGGGGATCAAATACTTTTTTCCCTCATGAACATGCAAATCAGTGCATAATTTGTTAGACATGCATTTATTTTGAATTTTTGGTTGCTATTCTGTCTCTCAATGTCTCACAGCACCCACTCTTTAGTGTACTGAGCAAGCTGGCATTGATTGAAGCAGTCTTTAATTAAAGACCAGTAACACGTATTGTTTTCAGTGGAACAGTAAGTAAATCTGTAGGGTGGTAGGTGGGTGATGAGATGAGTGGCATACCTCATTATTTTGCAATGTGGACAAAGACTTCTGCACTTATACCTGACATCTGACATTCCCACTACAGGCACAGACATCATACATTGTCTGCACTGGATTATATTTACAATCCAGAAACACACAGGTATGCACATTGATCCAACATAGAATATTTGTGTCTGGTTGCAGTATAGGATTAAATTGTAAGCTCCGTGTGGGGTACATGATGGATTTTTCCAAATATCCTTGCTAAAGTTTACTGAATAAAGTAGAGGTGTTGGACAGCAATGGTGTTTTTTGAACCAATGTAAAAACAAACTTTTTTTTCACATGTTCTGTAGAGATTGCTTAGTTATGCAAGTTATACAATATTAAAAAGCACTCCTTGTATCTTGTATTACAGTCGCACATTGCAGAAAAATGATTCCAGAAACAGGCCTAAATACTATGGGATAGACTTACTAAAACCGGAGCACTCAGAATCTAGTGCAGCTGTGCATGGTAGCCAATCAGCTTCTAACTTCAGCTTGTTCAATTAGGCTTTGACAATAAAACCTGGAAGCTGATTGGTTTCTATGCAGAATTGCACCAGATTTTGCACTCTCTAATTTTACAGGGTGTCCCTAAAGTCTGGACACATAGGACATATCTTTAAATGTATGTTTTTTTCTCAATATGCACTTTGTGTCCAGACTTTAGGGACACCCTGTAGTAAATAACTCCCTATGGCTTTTCACATCATTCTCTGACACCTATTTGCTGATAGGCAGTACTGAAATTCACTTTAAAACCATAGGACAACCATCATGAAAGTACTTTTGTAAAAATATTATTAAATATTAATAAAACTATTTTACTTACCAATCCCACAAAGATGCAGAATAGTTGAACAACATCCGTATAAGCAACAGAGTATAGTCCACCAACAAGAGTATAGAAGGTGGCAATCAAGGCAGACACTACTACAGAAATGTTGATGTCAATGTCCACTATAACACTTATGGTGGCACCTAATTTGAAAGCATAGTAAAAATTAATGAATGTGTGATTTGTTTAACACAAAAAAACAAAAATTATGTTTGAAAATCTGTGCTGAGATGGAGTAGGTATTATATTTATACATCCTCAATTGACCATATTGTTTTAAACTTGATATGGTCCAGAAACAGACACAATAAAGGCAAATAAAAAACCTAGGATCAAATGGCTTACACCCATAGGCCCTCAAATATTTGAGCTATGTTATGTAGTGTCTATATTAAAAGTAGGACCAAAATCTTCATCCAGTAACTGCAAGTCTGTATGTTTAACCTTTTATAGGAGATACAATATTTGGGGCTTTAATTAAGGACTGCATAGAAGTGTTCCTGCTTTAAAACAATGTAATAAGTGATAGACAGCAAGGATTCATGAAAGTCCGAAGTGGTAAAACAGATATACTTTTTTTTTATTAGAAAGTAAACCTGGCCATACAGCCAGCAGGTTGAACAAAAAAAAAGCAGATTCAACAGCAGCTGATCCAGAATAATTCTCCAAAATGCCCCCTCGACAGAAGTTGATCAAATAATTGACTTTTAAAGAACGGGGATAAACACACTAATTGAAATTTGACAAGCCCCTGCTGAAGCAGATGAATTTGGATCAGGGTATGGCCAGCTTAAACAAAAATGTAGACAAGGGGGTGGCTGTGGGCAGGGGCGGACTGACCATTTGGAAACTCGGGCACTGCCCGAGGGCCTGGGCTCAGTAGGGGGCCCCATGAGATGCCCCTGGTACCTTTTTCATAGGCTTTTTTGAATTTGGGCAAGGACACAGGGGCCCTATGATCCCCTATTGCCCGGGGGCTCCATGAGTTGTCAGTCCGCCCCTGGCTGTGGGTATATTATACATTTATTTTTCTAAAATGTTTGACAGACCCTCACAAACGACTGTATGTTAGGTTTTATAAGCTCTGAAAATTCAGTCCGTAAATGGATAGAAAACAGTTTTAATGAGAGTTGTGATAAATGATTCATACTCTGAATAGCCCTAGGTTGCTAGTATTTTCACTCTAAGATGTTAGGACCATTATTTTTAATTGATATACTGTATAAATCTGGATTAAGCTTTTGAGTTTAATATTAAAGCATTTGTAAAGTATAAATTTTTTTTTTCTTCCAAAAATAACAAACATGTTACACTTACCTGCTATGTGCAATCATTTTGTACAGAGCAGCCCCAATCTTTCTCTTCTCAGATCCCACGCTGGTGCCCCTGGCTCCTCCTCATCTTGGTGTACCACCATAGGAAGCCGCTTCCAATAGTGGCACACTTGTGAGCTTGTTCTCCTGCAGCATTGACTGTACCTATAGACACAGTGAGGCTTACCCCTCCCAGCTCCCTCATCAGAGGATTTGATTGACAGCAGTGAAAGCCAGTGGCTACCACTACTGCTCTCTGCACTGAATCCAGATTAGGCTTAGGTAGAGGGTGGGAATACACATACTTAAATATTTTGTACCTTGATGCATTAAATGCATTAAGGTAAAAAAGGTTTAGGCTTTGCAACCACTTTAAAAATATCTTTCTGTGTCTTTAGCTGACATCCAGTTAAATGTCAGCTGACCTGGAATGCTAGTTGACCGGAAAGGACTGTTTCAATGACTACATAGCAATTGTGGATTAATGTTGATTGATGTCAAAGTATGTACTTTGGAAAGGGATGGGGAGGGAAGGGGGGTGGTAGCTAAAAACCATGCTTGCATAAAGAAAAGTAAAACTGAGGGATTCAATGATGGAGAAGGATCTGGATTCTTTTTTGTATTGTATGAGGTATTGATTTACTAAAATTTATTTAGTATCTATTTAAGGAAAATAGGCTGTTCAATTTGCAAGGGAAGATTCACTATTCAAGAGAATTTCCCTTAGTTTAGTGGATGTGGTGTATGATACACTTTGCAAAAAACCCCCAATCACATGCAAGGAAAATAAAAAAAAAATATTTTTGATTGGATGATGGAAGTCAGCATAGCTTCACCTCATTTACTAAGCTAAGGAAAATTCCCTTGCAAAGTGAACAGCCTACTTGCCTTTAGTAAATCAATTCTATAGACTCCAGAGAGAGAGAGAGAGAGAGAGAGAGAGAGAGAGAGAGAGAGAGAGAGAGAGAGAGAGACATAGGCGTTGATTTATTTTAAGGTAATGGGCTGTTCATTTTGCAAGGGGATTTTCTCTTAGCTTCAAGCAGTATTAAACCTTGTATTTTTATCTGCTGATCCAGCCAGTAAATCTGTTGTTTTTTTAACAGAAAAGCTCCCTTGCAGTTATAGGGAAGAGATGGACCATTTAAAACTGGAAGGGGTGCATACAATGATCAGCTTTTAATTATGTAAAACCTTTATCCCAAAAGGAAAAAAAAATATTTGTTGTAACTGATTATATAGCATTAGCTGGAGATCAGCTTCAATTTGTTAGTGTATTTAAATCTGCTAGTACGTCTCACACTCCCCCTCTCCCCAGACTGACAATGCTGCTGTCCAAATCTGCCCCTGTGCACCTTCATCCAGACTGGTGTATGTATAATACAGGAGATGTGTTACTGGCCAGATCACCAGGCGAAAACAGAAGGAAAAAGCCTAAAAATTCAAACTAATGCAGCCACCACATCTAATGATTGGTAAGCTGCAATATATGACATGTTTGGATTTGGATTTAATACCTCTTTAAGATTGGCATACATGGGTCAGTTTTTTTTTTTGATCATCCAGTGGACCGGTCGAAAAAAAAACTGAATGGATTCCCCCATCCACACAAGCAAGTTGGATGGAAGAATCCTTCTCGCTGTGTTATTGTATCTTGACAGCTGAACTCCTCCACTGTGAGAAAACACTGATCAGAACTTCAGCTGCAGTGCTGATCAAACAAAGATTTTCATGAGAAGTTGATCATTAGATTGACTTCTCATGAACAGAAATGACCATGGATAGATCAATATTTGGCCGTTTTATGCTAAACGGGATTAATTTTGATCCATCTATGGTCAGCTTTAGTGAATGAAGTGAAGCTCTACTGACTTCCATCATTCAATCATGTGAAAGCAAAAAATAGTTGTTTTTCCCTTGCATGTCATTAAGTATTCTGTTTACTACATTCACTAAGATAATTGAAAATTGCTTTGCAAATTGAACAGCCTACTTGCCTTAAGTAAATTAACACCACAATCTTGACCCTGTACAAAGTATTAATAAGACATCATCTTGAATTTTCAGTTCAGTTTTGGGCACCAGTTCACAAAAAGGATGTGACAGAACTGGAGAGAGACCAGAGAAAGTCAACTATATTAACAAAAGGAATGGAGAGCTTCAGCTATGAGGAAACATTAAAGGATATGTTTGGGAATAAAAAAAAAACAAATATACATACTCACTTCTATGTCTGCAGCATTGCTGCGATGCTGCAGTTGTCCCCTGCTGGCTCTAAGACATGACCGCTGATCACTCAGTTCTTGGTCTGCTTTGAGCAGAGCCATGACTGACAGTCACTGCTCTCCTATTTGCCTCTCCAGTACCTACTAGAGTACTGGACTGGGGAGGGAGTGGCAGCTGGCTCAGGCTCTCAGCAGCACGCACAGAGGCTGTGCCAGCTGTTGGTCAGGCATCTGGGTGGATCCCGACATTATTGTAGGGATTCTTCCAGAGCCTGCAGTGTCTCTGTGATGTCAGCCCACTGTTGGTTGATTCTGGGTCACAGAAGAAGTGCAAAACTAAACACACTCCTGTGACCCAGAAGAGAAGTACGGCCAAAAAACACTTTGGCCATACTTCTCTTTTAAGTACCCATGTACATTCTGTGGTGCTTTAACATGCATTGCATTAAGATAACCTATTGAAATGAATGTCCTATCAACATGCCATAATGTGGCAAAAAATGGATTTGCATAATTTTTGGCAACAAACTACTATGAATTATGTTGCATTGCAAGGCAGGTGCATTGCTTTAGTACATTGGGGTGCCATCCAAAATGAATGGCTTCGCAAGGCAGCAATGCATGTTATCACATTAATATAGTGAGTATAAATGGGCCCTAACTAAATTGTATTTATTCAACTTAAAAAAGATGCATTCATGGGGCGAACAAGATCTTATATAAATACATTAATGATCCATATAGTAAACTTATTGCAAAGTTGTTCACTTCAAAGTCATTGTAAATGATAAGAGGGCGCTCTATTTGACTGGAGGAAACAAAGTTTAAAGTATAACTAAAAGAAAACCTTTTTTAGCTTCAGAGGGGTGAAGGATTAGACCTCCTATCAGTATTCACTGCTTTCTGTACCCCCATTAGGGAGATTCACCCTTTCTATTTGCCCTGTTTACCATTACTGTTGAAAGAGAAAGTAAAAGGATAAAGGATTAGACCTCCTATCAGTATTCACTGCTTTCTGTACCCCATTAGGGAGATTCACCCTCTCTATTTGCCCTGTTTATCATTACTGTTGAAAGAGAAAGTAAAAGAAAATCCCACATTTTTGGTTGTCCCCAGAAAAGTAATAGAAGGGAAATCTTCCAATGGGAACATTAGTTCTGGTGACCTGGGGGGGGCCCAAGAAAATACCTTAGTTTGCATTGATTTCCTCTCACTTCCTGTTTGGCTATACGACAGAAACTGAAGGGAAATCTCCTCAATGGGACATAGATGGCGAAACAAAATCTGACAGGGGTTATAACCCTCCTTTACTCTATCCAAAATGAAAGAAAAAATGTTGCCTATAGTTCTACTTCAAAGCTATATGACAGAAACTGAAGGGAAATCTCCTCATTGGGACATAGATGGCAAAATAAAATCTGACAGCGGTTATAACCCTCTTTTACTCTATCGAAAATAAAAAAAATTTTTTTCCTATAGTTCTACTTCAAAGCTGAACTATAGGAATTACACAAAATGTATCCTTGCATACTGCAAGGGTTAAGTGATCATTGGATCTATGAAGGGGAGATGAAAATAATGCATTACTTTCCCTAACCCCCACTCTGGCTGGCTCTGATGCTCTTGCCCATGCTGCTATGATCAAGGCTGTGGGTAGTCCCTTGGAATCATCATGTACAATGCAGGGCTTTTAACCCTGCATTGTATAAGGAAAAGGCAGGAATGTAAACACTGGCCTGAGCACCTTTGACAGAAGGCTTCATGGGACAGGCCACACCACTGGAGGGAGCTTGCAGAAGCAGGGAATAAGGTAAGTATTCCTAAAAACCCTAGGGGACCTACTACAAGGGTACATTTTGTCTAATTCCAGAAGTTTAGCTTTCACCTCTGCATACAAAAAGGCTTCTTTGTAGTAAGATCTGTGCTCATGAGGAATAGACTTCAAAATGAGCTAATTGCAACTTCCAAAAACATACTGAGTGTATTTCAAAATGCATAGAAATGCAAATAATAACACTGTAGGTGTTGATCTGGGGAATATCCAATTGTCTTAGGGGATCGGGAGGGAATTTTTTCCCCCTGTTGAAGGAAATTGGACAACATTTATAAAGGTTTTTTGTCTTCCTCCAGGTCATCTGTGACCAGCTTTTTTGGCTCATTGAAAATGTCAAAAGAATACATTTGCCTGTCTATTGGTCATTGAGTTTCCTTTACCGATATTTGCACATCATTGGGACCTATCACAATTTTACAATGTGTTACAAAATTCATTCCTTTGGTTTGACTAGCTTTACAAATAGAAGTTCTCAAAACCTCTTTAGAAAACCCACAAATCCAGTAACTTAATATTACAGTGATTACTGTCATCATAAACAGAGAGAAGGTAAATAAGTACCTTACTGTTTCACGTCTAATCAGGACACAACTGGTAATTAGACTAGATGATGTTTATTACAACAAATTAAGCTTGGTCTGAAGGAAAAGAAATAGACCAGACCACCCGGGGCAATAGCACTTGAATCAAAAACAAGTGGCTGCATACATAGGCAAATGAGTCCAAATTAGTTTTCTTTTTTTTCTACATTAATGATTCACAGTATGGAACAAATTGTTGTAAATTTAAAAAAAAATGATTAATTTCTATTAGAAAATCCTAGCTGCTCTGCTTAATTTCCATTATATCTGTAACCATAAGTTGAAAGCTTAATTTAGAGGCCCAGCTTTCATGGCAGATAAACCAGTTAAATCTCACCTTCACCCCAAGATATAAAGGTTCTTATTTGCCTCCACTAAATTTCCATTCCTAATTCATAGCTACTTGAAAGAGTTGCCATGTAATGATTATTAATGTCTCTACATGATGCCTACCTTTAATGTCATATGTGATTGAAGCTAACATGACTTGCTGTACTAAACACCCAAAAAAGATGATTAAATATACAGTATATATTATATGTATGCTGATCTGGGTTTAAACATTATATATATAAATATAGAGTATATATAACTATAAAAGGTCCCCAAGAAACTACAATAACCGCAATACAATATACCACTGGTGTTACATTTAATGTGTAGAGGGCCATCTCCAAGATTTCTGCCTTGGGCCATTTTTTGTCTAAAAGCAGAAATAAAAATAATGGATGAGTTTACTTTGCTTGACTAAACCTCTGCAGCATTTTTTATGTTCTCTTTATTAGAGAAAGCAGGCATTGAAGAGGTAGGTGGTACTTTCTATCTGACCTCATTTTGCAACAATCTGCTGGAATCAAAATTTATTGTGTAGTGTCAGTAAATATCACTTTAGTTTTTGTTAATGTATTTAGCTTTATTTCACATAGTTTTCATATTTTTAATGTTTGTCATGCACTACTCTTCATTATCATATTTATCAACCATGTTCTGGTACATTGTGCCTCTAACTCATTTTTCTTTGGGAACTGGAACTTTTCCACCACACTTTGTAGACAGAGCACCTATTACAGAGAAATTACATTTTAAGAGTATATTTAAGTTTAGGTTAACAGTTAAGGCTTAATTTTAGGAAATGATAACTGTTCCCCAAATGAAGAGAATTCTCCAGAATATTTGTCCCCATTGGATGATTTACCTTAGCTCTTGGTCTGACTACAGTTCTAAAATTTTGGATTTCCCTTTACAATGGTCATCAGCACAAACAGAGGGGTGAACTTCCCCAGTGTAGACACAGAGCACAATAAAAGCTTTACAGAGGGAAATCTATAGATAGACACACACACAAATCTATACTAAATTACATATGTAAAAAATAATAATAAATGGCCTTTTTCACCTACACTCTAGGATTTTTTTCCACAATTTTGGTCAAACATTTGTCAAGAGAAAAAAAATACAATGCGTTACTTGTAAAAGAATAAAGTATTACCTACAATTCCTAGAGCCCCTACCACTGAGTGCCGCTCCATTCAGTGGAAATGGTTTGCCTTCGGTGGCACAGGCCTCAGGAAAGGTGAACTCTTTCTTTTTCCAGGTAGCAGGAGCTGTAAATATTTGTTTTTCCTGACGGGGTTACTTTAAACTATACAGTGTTTGCGATATATGTATGAATATGATCACCTTACTCTATATAATCTTTTTAATGCTTCTTAATGTTTTAGATATCATTATACAGTCTGTATATGGTTATGTCTTGAGAAAGGCAGGTTGTGCCTTGCTGAAACGTTGACATTGATTAAACTACATCGGAAAATTTACATATTCAGACTCTGCTTTCTAATTTTCAAAATATATTACAATTTTCAACGCTTGGTCATCTTAATTTGATTATTTAAATGCTGAACAGTTTAGGGTCACATGTACACTGGGTATTTAGCTCATGTGCATCCAATCCTGATGTTTTCATGTGCCTGGGAGAGACACGTGCAGCCTCCAGCCCTGCTGCTTGCAGCCTGTCAAAGTCTAACAGACTGAAATATGCAGCGGCTTGATGCTGTACTGAGTATTACCCGTGTTAAGGGCCACATGTGTTCAGGAATGTCTGCCCAGAATGCAGGAATTCTGCATTCCAGGCCTGTGTCCCTGAATGGATATGGCCCTACATGCAAGCACCACTCAGTACAATGTCCAGGCGCAGCATACTTCAGCCTGTCTTAGACTTTGACAGGCTAAAGGCAGTGGGGCTGGACCTTGTGTCTGTGTCTCCCAGATGCACAAAACCATTGGGATTTGATGCACAGGGGCTAGATGCTTAGTGTGCATGTAGCCTTAAAACCCAATGTTAATTTTTTATTATTTAAAATCTAGCATACAGTATATGCACATGTTAAAAAATGGAGTAAAAAAGAATACTGATATTAAATGTAGGAGGTGTGTAGAAACTGTGTGTTATTTTTACCTAAAGCAGAGAGGATGGCAGCGGCCCAGAACATTTCTCCCATCAGTGCAGGTATGAAAATCAAACCTACCATTCGTTTTCCATATATCTGCTGGAAAGGATCCAGCATTGTCACATATCCTTTTGACCTCATAGGTTTTGCAAAAAACAGACCACCTAAAAAAAAATACATATAGCTTTTATAGCATATAGCTCATTTTGGAAACAAGACTATCTAACAAGGTTTTGCCTTAGTAAAAAAGACTTCTACATAAATCACACACATATGAAATATACTTTTTGCTATAAAACATATTCAATATTACATATAGTTATAGCATCTACAAACGATGGTATATATACAGGCATTACTATTTATTTATTTTTTTATACTAGTAATGGCGGTGATCAGCAACTTATAATGGGACTGTGATAGTGCGGCAGGCAATCCGACACACTGTCTGGGAGGCACACTAACTGACTAACTGACACTGACATCACCAGCGACACTAATACAGTGATCAGTGATAATACTATATACTGCCACTGTACTAATGACACTGGCTGGGAAAGGGTTAACATCTCGGGGTAATCCGGGGTTTAAGTTTGTGCCTATCAAGCGTTAATGTGTGTATTATGTGCTGCTTTTTACTAAATATCTGTTTGTTCCGTCTCCCTGATTCCCTCTGTATAGTACCCTGGGTGTTTGTCTGCAGTGGACTTTTGGCTGTGATTGGATACAGCAGTTCTCAGCCAATCATTGGCTGAAATTTGTTGACAAAATCCCGCTGTGTCCAAACAGAGCAGGATTCAGCTGGGGAAGGGTGGGGGTGGGGGTGGGGGGGGAGGGGGGAGGCGAGTGGGTGTGAAGGTGCCAACGTACAGGTACATAATTGTGCTTTTGCGAGCCTCCTACCCACAGGAAAAATTACCACAGGCAGTCGGCAAGTGGATATATTAGTCATGACTAATATTATTAGTGTTAAAATCATGATTTGCTGTAAAATATGGACCTGTAGACTGTAGTGTAAATGGACTGTTATTAAAAACAAACTATTAGGTTTAATGTTTGTCAGGTGTTAGTTTTTTGTGATTGGAGATTGAAATTCAGAGTGTATGAGTATGTTTGCATGCCTGTGTTTATTTGGGGATATTACATGTGAATTACATAACCCCCCCATTCTGTTTTCCAAGGGATGGTCCAGGGATTCGAACCAAATCTTGGGGTTCCATGGACCCAACCCTTTCCAGAGCCCAATTTCAGTATCTGACCTCAGCCCATACATCAGATTGGGGGCACACTATTCTCTCTTCCAATTTCTGGTCAAGTGCCAAAAAAGTCACTGGAATCAGAGCCACAACTGAAGTTTGAGATACAGTAGATTCCTAAGTGTGCTGTGCGGCACTGCACTGCTCCGAGGTCTGATGCTGTTGTGGGGGGTGCTCTGTTTAAATGGAAGTGAAACCCATTGTAAACATTGCTTTTAATAGAACTAGAGTTACGCTATGGAGGCATCCTCTTGTTTAGCCCTTTACATGTGAGAGGCACCAAGCACTTTATTTTTCTGGAAGATATGTGAAAGGAGGAGAGCAGCAGAGTAGAGTTCTTATGAGCTTTTATGAGCCTGGGAATACCTGAAGTTCAAGCATTTTTTACTCTGATGCCATATGACATAGAGTCCACACTGTCTGATGAATGTGAGAACAATGGAGGGGAATATGGCACTGTCATTGCTTGCACTAAAGAAGAAGTTGTTCACTGGCACAAGAGACTGTACCAGTTTATGGGCATAAGCATAATATTTCAGGAACAATATTGGACATTTAACAACCTACTGGAGCTTTATAGAGATGGAAAACAATATAAAAAGATATCCATAGCCTTGAATATATCAGTCAGTACTGTTCAAACACTTATTAAGAAGAGGTAAATTTGGGGATCTCTTGATACCAAGCCAAGGTCAGGTAGACCAAGATGGATTGCAACCACATCTGCCAAAATAATTGTTCAGAATACAAAAAAACCCCCCACAGATTACCTCAGTAAAGATACAGCTCTGCTCTGGATATAGACGGTGTGGTTGTTTCAAGGAGGACAATATGATGATGCTTGAATAAAAATGATCTGCATGGTTGAGTTGCCAGAAAGAAGCCTTACTGCGTCAATGCCCACAAAAAAACCTGGTGAGGTGCGTTATGGTGTTGTCAGGTATATTGTAACTGGGTTTTTTTTGTGGCATTGGTGCAGTAAAAGCTTCTTTCTGGCAACTTGACCATGCAGCTTATTTTTGTTCAAGTATCATCGCATTATACTCTAGAGATGTCCTTGATATTCGAATGTTCTGTGAACACACAAATGGTTAGGGCGTTCGGCCGGCTACGCTCTGACAGTGCATTGTGCTTGGCCAAAGCAATGCACCTGACCACAGGTCAGGTGCAATGCTTTGGCCAATCACAGCACAATTGGGCAGAGCTAGAGGTGACATCACCCCTAGCTCCACCCATTTGTCTACATTTGACCGGAAAATGTCAGATGCGGCAAGTGCTTGGTGGCTGCGGATGTTTCTGCAGGCGTCAGTTTTTTTTTTTTATTTTGGAAAGTCGGTGTTGTCGTGACAATGCTGGACGCTGTAATTGATGATGGATTACATTGATTGTCTTTTTTTTTCTAAATAAAGGACTTGTGAAAGACTGTCTACTATATTTTTTTACACTACACTTTTTTTTTGTGAATGAGTAGCAGTACCATATACCCCATACTCATTCACATGGGGGGGTGGGATCTGGGGGCCCCCTTTGTAAAGGGGGCTTCCAGATTCCAATAAGCCCCCTGCCCACAGACCCACACAACCACTGGCCAGGGTTGTGGGGAAGAGGCCCTTGACAAGGTGCTTTGGGAGCGCAGCCCCTCCTGCCCCAATGCACTCCCCATGTTGAGGACATGTGGCTTGGTACAGTTTCCTGACCTGCCAGGGTGCAAGCTCAGAAAAGGGTCTGTTATGGATTTTGGGGGGGACCCCACACACATTTAAAAAAATATTTTGGCGTGGGGGTTCCCCTCAAAATCCAAACCAGACCTGAAGAGCTTGGTATAGATTGGGGGAAGGGTGGGGGCACACAAGAGCAGCCTGTATTTCTCCTGAGGTTTCATGTGGGTTTTTTCATTGTATCCTGAACAATTATTCTGGCAGTTGTAGCTGCAATCTTTCTTGGTTTGGTATCAAGAGATCCCCAAATTTTCCACTTCTTAATAAGAGATTGAACAGTATTGACCGGCATATTCAAGGCTTTGGATATCTTTTTACATTGTTTTCCATATAAAGTTCCATTACCTTGTTACGCAAGCCTTTTGAAGTTCTTTTCTGCTTCTCATTGCTCAGTATCTAGCCTGCTTTGGCTTATTAGCTCTCAGTGCATCCATATGAGACCTAATAAACCATGCTCTCAGTGCATCCATATGAGAGCTAATAAACCATTTATACACAGACACTAATTGTAATTTAAAAAGCCACAGATACAGTAAATTAACCTTTAATTGCCATTTTACCCTGTGAGTCACCTTGTGTGTCTGTACCAAAGCCAAACATTCTAGGGTATGTACACTTTTGATCAGGGCCATTTGGATGATTTCTGTTACCATGATGATTTAAAAAGGAGACAAACAACTATGTGATAATAAATGGCTTCATATGATCATCGTCCTTAAATAAAAGACAGTTTTTGGCATGATCAGTCATAGTTTTAATATCAGCGCCAAAATTTCATGATTTCTGACAGGGTATGCAAACTTTTCAGCACAACTGAATTTGGCAGTTTTTTTTTTTTTTGCATAATATAAGTATATTGGATGATTTGATGCTGAAATAATAATATTGGTGGTAGATGTAAAGGGGCAGCGCTGTGAATAATGGATAACATGTGTTGAGGTCATTAGCCCTTAACAGCAGCATACCCATTTGTTGTAGACCATTTATGCAAATAATTTATTCATAATTTTTCTAATTTTATTCACACTTTTACATGTTTCCACATTCTTTTTTTATGTATTTGAGATTGTAAGCTCCAAGGAGCAGGGCCCTCCTATCCCTCTTGTATTGAACTGTATTGTTGCTGTATTGTCTCCCGTTATATTGTAAAGCGCTGAGCAAACTGTTGGCGCTATATAAATCCTGTATAATATTAATAATAATAATTTGAGGCACATTTCACCATACTACTGCAGACTAGTGAAGATAGATTTTAGGTAAAAAAAATGTGCATTTCTTTTTTCTTTTTCTATGTAGCCTGTAAAGCATTGCACCCACAGTCAGCAGATCACGAGTACAATGTCGGGCTCCTGTAGACTCTCAGGAGAGAGGAAATGGCATCATAAAAATGGACTTTCTGGCTTTAAAGACTCTCAGGATAGCTGTCTGTCCATACCTCCGATACGGGCAGGCAGCCACTTGACAGCAGGAAGAACAATGAATTATGAGAGCGCTCACCATCCCCCTTGTAGTCCATTGAGAACTACTAGCCATCAGCTGCAATGGCTGATGGTACTTGTAGTCTTCATTCAGAGGAAACTCTGGTCATAGGCGGAGCCCTGTACAACCACAGTGAACTTAGCCTTTAAACTGCTCTGTAGAAATGAAACTATAGTTAGATTGGTGTTCTTTATTAAAAATCTCTCTTCCTTTGTGGTGGGAAATAGAATACACATACTATATCTATTGTACTATAGACTAGTAAGACATTAATATTTATTTTGTTTCTTCATAAAACTATGGTTTCTAAACATCTGAAAATTCTGATGATCCCTAACCTAGAACAAATCTCTTTTGAAGCATTTGGTTCAGCTAGGCAAGACTTGTTATTGACTGCTATTCCCTCTTTGATTGTAACATCTGAGCCAGATGATACAACAATATGTTCTCAAACTCCATGAAATATAATATTCACGCCTGAACATTTCAATGATTTAACTATTTCAGTCAATCTATTTAACCACATACAGATGGATTGCCCATTATTACAAAATTAGTTAGGACAGCTTGTTTGACATCTCTGATAATGTCTATGGGGTTGATTTAGTAAAGACAAACAGGCTGTTCAATTTGCAATTGAATTTGCACCGAGGCTAAGTGAATAAGGTGAAGCTCTGCTGACTTCCATCATCCAATCATGTACAACCAAAA